ACCCTACAGTAGTATGATTGATTGATTACATTATGTTAACTTGCATTATGGAAGATGATTACATTACATTACATCCACAGGTATAGGGAATAGGATTCTAACACATAATTCAATCTCTAAGAGTTACTTACACTGCCTTTTTTTTTCTTAAGATATTAGCAACAGCTTGGCCTCAATGTGATGTCTATTTCCAGCAACAAGGAAATGATTTCACAATTGACAAAGGAAATATAATACTGAGGAGAAATCAGAAGCAAAGCATACGTGCTGACGAGCAAAGCGAGGTAAACCATTTTCTCAATGGCTATTGTCTATTGTGTTATGAAGAAATAATACTTGTAAAGCACTTAGAACCATCCCTGGTCCATGTAAGTGCTCAGTCACTGTAAGCTCTTACTGGCTTCACAAATAGAAATGCAGAAAAGAACTAAGTTCAAAGTAATGAGAGCCTCTGGGGAAAACTTAAGTAGCTGTATTCCATCTCAAGATGAAAATTTCAGGAAAGCTGGGTGCTGTGAAGTTGGAGAGTTGAGCACAAAGAACTTCAATGTCTTGTCATTTAGTAAGGAGAGGTATAGTGCTTAGGAAGGCTCTCCTCTTGGTTGGAGAAGAAAAAAGACTTTGTGGATGACGCCCTGAATGTGCCCTTGATTTCATGCAGTTGTTGTGGGTTAATTCTGGAGTGCGTGTCTAGGGTGCCTCAAGGCCCTGCCTCAATGGCTTCAGAAGCCCAAGGCCTTGTAGCCATCCAACAATTAGTCACTCAGAGCCTGGGCCACTTTAAGCTTATTTGCTCATTCATCGTTTGTTCCTTCAAGAGATCTTTATGGAGGTTCTATGTGCGTGTTTGTAAATGGGTAAGTAGAAGATGCAAAAGAAAGCAGACATCAGTCTGCCCTGTTCATGAACCCATTATCTAAAACAGTTCATTACACATAAAAGGAAGGCCTTGGGTGATGGAAACAGCCTCACTTGATAACTAAGAGGTTGGTGGTTCAATCCATCCAGAGACATCTCAGAAGAAAGTCTGATATATTTCCAGGTCACCATGAGACAGAATTGACTTAACTGGGCAACTGGTTTTCATACATGCCACTTGCCCTGTAGAATTGTAGCAGTGGCATCACTAGAGTTGATGCCACCTGGTACAGTAACTAGCAGTGTCACTTCCCCTCCCCCAAGGACCTCCTCTCATACCAGACCCTACAGAATGTTTAGCAATGTTTATTATCAACTTTAATCAGAGAATAATGCTATATAGTTGTAAATTGTATTGATGTAATATTTTTTAGATTACACAAATACTAACAACAAAACTGTTTTGTAAAATCTTTCTACATTGAATTACAACATTATTAGTTACTGAGCAGATGTCTTTTTAAAACTTTTCCTTTTCCTTTAATTACTACTTCATTTTCTTTTCTTTCTTTTTTTTAAAAAAACTTTTTATTATGGCTTGGTTGAAAATTTACAGAGCAAATTCATTCTCCATTCAACAATTCAAACACAGTTTGTTTTCTGACATTGTTTACAAACCCCACAGTATACTAGCTCTCTTCTCCCTTCCTGTCTGTCTATGTTTTCCCGGAGTCCTTCTTTTCTATGTATTCCTGCCTTCTGAGCTTTCTACCTGCACAAATGCTGCCCTTCTGATCTTCCATTGTTGATTGTTCTAAGGAGTGCACTTTCCTGGTGTAATTGTCCACTTCATAGACCTATCTACTATTTGGCTGCAAGTTAAGCCACAGGAGTGGCCCAAAGGGTGACTATGGGCCATAGTCTCTGGGGTTTCACCAGTCTGTATCAGACCAGTAAGCCTGGTCTTTTTTATGATTTTTTAATTTTGTTCTACATTTTTCTCCTACTCTACCCAGGATCTCCAATTTTGACCCCTTCCCAAGTAATTAGCATACCATCTAGTTCTTCTGGTCTCAGCATTTTGTGGGCTGAGGTTTCCATGGTCCACTAATTGTTTCCATGCCTGTTTGATTTTCTTCACTCTTCTTTGCTCTAGACCAGGAGAGACCAATTGCTACATCTTAGATGGCCCCTCGCAAGCTTTTAAGACCCCAGTCACTATTCACCAAACTAGCATGTAGAATGATGTTTTCGCATACTATGTTATGCCAATTGACCTGCATGTCCCCCACAATCACCATCCCAAGGCCACAGGCCCAGTGACTTACTCCATCAAGGTGTTTGGTTGTATCTAAGAAGTTATCATAACTTTACCCCCTGTTAGCTCTATTATATATATGGACATTTCTATATACAAACATGAGTACAGAAATATCATCTGCCAAACCTAGGTATATTTCTATTTGCCTACCCATAACTGATCATCTGTCTACCTATTTCTCCACCTGTAGATTAATGTGTGTCATTACTCATAATGTAGTGTGTGTGTAACAGTGTTTACATTTGTTGTCTGTACCTCTTGTGCTCCTCTCTGTGTGTTCCTTTTCCTTAGTGATATTGTGATGGTCATCTGCTTTTGGTACATTGTCTTTCCCTTCACCCAAATCAATACATCTCTCTTACCTAGCTAGCAATTTTCTCTGTCCTCCCCACCCATCCCTGGTAACCAACAAAGAAAATTTCCTTCCTTGTGTAAACTTTTCCTTGATTTTTTACAATAATGGACTCATACAATATTTGTCCTCCTGTGATTGACTTGTCTCACTCAGCATAATGTCCTCCAAGTTCATCCATGTTATGAAGTGTTTCATAATTTCTTCATTATTCTTTAATGTTGCATAGTATTCTGTTGTGTATATATACCGTAGTTTGGTTATACATTCGTTCACTGATGGGCACATAGGTTGTGTCCATGTCTTTGCTACTGTGAATAGTGCTGCAATGAACATGGGTGTGAGAGTTCTGGCTCTCACTCCTTTAGGATATATACCTAATAGTGGGATTGCTGGATCAGATGGTATTTCCATTTCCAACCTTTTAATGAAGCACCGGGAGCTCTGGTGGCTAAGGCATTTGACTGCTAACCAGAAGGCTGGCGGTTCAAACCTACCAGCCACTCCTCAGAAGGAAGACTGTGCAATCTACTTCCATAGTGATATCGCCTTGGAAACCCAAGGAGGGGTCGCTATGAGTCAAAATCGACTTGATGGCAGTGAGTTTGGTGTTTGGTTTTGGAAGGAAGCACTATTCCATTTCATCTTTGGTTTTTACCATTAAATAGTTCCACAAGCACTGTATAAGAATTCCAATCAATCCATACCCTCTTCAGTATTTGTTGTTTTCGGTCTTGTTGAACTTTGTTATTCTTGCCTGGATAAGAGATCTCATTATTTTTCATTTAATTACTTATTTTAATGCATTTTATTGAAATATAATTTATGTACAGTGAAATACACAAAACTAAAGTGACATGGGTCAATGCATTTTTTTTTTCATTGTTCCCTCCCCTCCCCTCCCGCCCCTGGCAACCACAAAGAAAGTTTCCCTCCATATATAAACCTTTCCTTGACCCCCCACAACAATGAACTAATACTATATTTGTCCTTCTGTGATTGACTTATTTCACTCAGCATAATGTCCTCCAGGAGATCCTGGTTAGAGTGGGAGAACAATGTGGAACAAAACTCAAAATCATAGAAAAGGACCAGGTTTGCTGGTCTGATAGAGCCTGGTGAGACCACTGAGACTATGGCCCCCAGCTACCCTCAGGTCTGGAATTGAACTCCCTCCTGTGGCTTCCAGCCAAATAATAGACAGGTATATGGGGTGAACATTTGCATCAGGTAGATATACTACTTGGAGCGATAAATCGTGGGAGAACAGAAGGGCAGTGTATGCACAGGAAGACAGCTCAAGAGGGGTGGGAGTACACAGGAGCGAAGGACACAGGGATGAGGTAACTTCGGAGAGGAAGTGGGAAAAGAGCCGTTACATTGTGGGGCATTGCAGTCAATATCATGAAACAAAATGTGTATGAACTGCTGTATAGAAAATGAATTTGCTCTGTATACTCTCACCCAAATCATAATAAAAACTAAAAAAAAAAATCCTAATCTGAGGATATAGTTAACTTATTTGCACTTCTGTCTTCACTGCAAGATTCTAAACTCTTCTGTGGCAGAGGCTCTGTCCTATTCATTGTTATATTCCTAATGCAGAACCTGGCACAGTAATACTACTAAATAAACATTTATCAAATGAAGGGCAGTTTGGGGTAGATCACAGAGCAACTTGAACTGCAGGCTAAGTAAATTGGGCGTCATTCTGTTAGCAGTTGGAAGAGTTTGAAATGGTTTGTTGGCAGCAGTGTGTAACATACATTTGGACAAAGAAGAGAGTGCAGGGAAGAGCCAAGAGGCTATTGCAGCAATCTAGGCAAAAAGCAACAAGCTAGAAGGAGGGTGGAGGCAGTGAGTGGGGGAGGCAGATGCAAAAGCAATTAAAGAGGTATTATCTACCCGACCAGATGGCCGTAGGCTGACGTACAGTACAGAGAACTTCAGAGATTCTAATCAATCTGATGTGGGGTAGGAGTTTTGTGCTTGACACACAAGTAGATGGAAAAGGAGGTATTTCTCACATTTGCATGGAAGAAATATCTAATAAATAAATCCATGTGAGTTTTCTCATAGTCATGCACAATTATGCAAACTCCATGAAGTAGGCATGGGAATATTCTCTTTCCCTCCATATTTTGGCCAGAACTCCGTATCTGCAAAACCCCATGGTCATCATCATGGAATTTGCTCAGCTCATTAACACACAGAGTACTTAAAACTAAAATGGCTTTCCATGCCGCTACTTTTAAAGCAAGCATTCTTTATGTTCCAAAAACATAGATATATGTCGGGTAACATATACTCCAAAGCTGCGGTTCTAACACAGTATTCTCAGCAGGAATCTGGGCTGCGTGCGTCCTGGACGGAGTCATTTATCCGTGGTCCAGATGGAGCACACACGCATCACGAACCCTTCCAGGCCTTGCCTATAGACAAACTATGTATGTTCCTCTCTGATTTTAGGACTCAGTGACTTTTGGTCAGGGACCTGCCATTCATGTCGTTCTCCAAGAGCCGGTTCCTGGAAAGCCTAGCACATGGACTGGGCCTGGGTTTGCCCGGGTTCTCCCTGGGGCTGGCTTGAGATTTGCTGTCAACAACATTCCCTTCCCCATGGACTTCACCATCGCCATTCGCTATGAAACTCAGGTACCCTTTAACACCCAACTTCTTCTGTGATGTCATAGTGCTTAAGGCATTTACACTGCTAACCAGAAGGCTGGTGGTTCAAACCCACCAGCCACTCCTCGGAAGGAAGGTTGGGCAATCTACTTTGGTTGTGATACCGCCTCAGAAACCCAAGGAGGGTCGCTGTGAGTCCGATCCCACTCAACAGCAGTGTGTTTGGTTTTTCGTTTTTCCTCTGTGGTAAAAAGTTGACGGAATGACATTCTCGAACTAAGTGTTTCCATTTCAGTGTTGTGAGGTAGTCATCGTAAAACTATTTACAAAAAGTAGAACATGTGGAGAACATTATAAACTAAAGGGCTTCCTAACACTATTGAAGCAGCCTAGTCAGCTATATGCACACATGTTTTATCCCATAGAGAGAAGCTAAAGTGGGAAGTAGGTATTCAAGGTACTAGGGTTAAGGAAGTGGTGATTAAATGTTTATATAAGAACCATAAACAACTAAAATAACACAAATCCTATCCCCTTGGGACTTTTATTCTAAAAATTTAATAAGCCAACACACATGCAGAGATAGAGCTACCAAAGAGGCTTTATTTGCACTGGGATTTTATCCTGCAGCAAGCGAGAGTACAAGCAGTCTGCATCTCTCATCCCACACCATGCCATCTCCCTTCCCTCCTTTTTAGAAATAACTAAGACTGAATAGAAGCCAAATTAGAAAAATACTGGATATAGAGCAGTACTTTGTAACCTTCTATTGCATACACACACTTCGGATAATCTAAAAGGCCATGCGCCAGCTCCCGTGAAAAGTAGTGTATATGGCTTGGGACGATGAGTCTCAGAGCCCCTGAAGCTCCCTAAGGACCATATTCTGGAGGCTTTCACGATGTGCCACAGGACCAGAGCTGTGATCCACTTTGAAACTCTTGCTACGTTGTAATGCTCTCTTTCTCCCAAATGAAAGCCAGGACATCAATCAACTTTGACCTGGTGAGTATGACTAGAAAGTCATTTTAAAAAGAAAAATAATTTAACTTATCCATATAGAAAACATGGAACCCTGGTGGCTCATTGGTTAAAAGCTTGGCTGCTAAGGGAAAGGCCGGCGGTTCTAACCCACTAGCCCCTCCATGGGAGAAAGACATGGCAGTCTGCTTCTGTAAAGACTATAGCCTTGGAAATATTTTGGGGCAGTTTTACTTTGCCCTATAGGGTGGCTCTGAGTTGAAAGCAAGTTTGGCTTTGGGTGTTTTAGGTAAAGAGTACACATATCTGACAGATTGAAAAGCTTTTCTAAATTGCAAGACTTCCAGAGTATATCTGAGAGTATAAATTATTACTGTTTGTCATGTGAACCAGGACAATGATGGATTAATTGACTCTTTGGGAGGTGAGTTAAAGATGAGAACTCATGGAGTGCCAAGGTTTTTCCAGGCCTGCAACTTATAGCTGCAGCCGGAAGCAATATTCCTTCCACCTGGATCACAACTCAGACATCAGAGCGTTGGACTCGAGAGTGAACCTCTAATACTTTTTTCATTCCCAAATTCTGTTCTCCATATGGACTGTGGTCTGCAATTCGATTCCATGCACTCTCTGTGTGTGTGTGTGTGTGTTCAAATCAGTTTCCTCCGTCTTCACATGTTTTTATTAAAAGTGGCATGCTTTCATTTGATGTCTGTCTAGTCCACAGCTGACTGGGCTGTGCAGATCATGGTTAATCCCCCTGGAGGGAAGAAGCACTGCACAAAGACCCCACAGCTGAAGCCTCTGTCTTTTGCTTTACCAGCAGCTGCCAGGTATGTTTGGTACCTTTCCTCAAACTTTGAAGTTTTCTTAGAACTATACATCAATAACTTGTATCCTGGAACTTAATGGGAGAAGGGGATATTGAAGAGGGCTGTACTTATTGAATACTTACTGTGTGCTAAGCTAAGCCTACATTTAATATCACAGTTAACCAACTCTATGACGTAGTATTGTCTTTATCTCTTGAGGAAGGAAATTAAGAGTATTAAATGACTTGCCCAGATCTTACATTAGTTTGGAGCAGAACTTGGATTCCAACCCAGATTCCTGCCCCTACATCTTGAAAGTTCCTTTTCCATTTCCCAGATGGCCTTGATATGGAAGAAAGTAAAATACTACAAGAATTAAGAGTAAAATGTTTAGCTTGAATTATCTCAAACAGCTGAGAGTCTGTGAGGTGAAAAGCAACTAATTTTATGCCACTAATTTTACCTCAAGGAGCTCTGGTGGTGTAGTGCCTAAGGCATTTGACTGCTAACCAGAAGGTTGGCAGTTCAAACCCACAAGCCACTCCACGGAAGGAAGACTGGGCAATCTACTTCCGTAAAGATTTACCACCTCAGAAACCCAACGGGGATTGTTATGAGTTAGAATTGATTCAATGGTAGTGAGTTTGGCTTTTTTCTTTTCTTTTTTGTAATTTTACCTCATTGGACATTGGAGCCAAAAAAACAGAGAAAGAGAGAGAGAGAGAGTTGTTACTGTGACAAATAAGAGGAAGGTTATCTGTCCCATCCTTTCCTCAAAGCTGCCATGACAAGCCATGGCCAATAGTTTCTAAGGCATTGCTGTTTGACACGTCTTATGGAAGAGCCATGGAGAATCTGAGTGTGGCTTTACCTTCCAGCCAACCCACCTGTGCTGTTCTCACCTTGTGCTGGCCTCAGCCCCACAGTGGAGCCTACTTCACAGCACAAGTGGAACACTGTGAGAGGCTATGATCCCCTATGTTCTGGTTCTCTAGTGCCGCGCTGATAAGAATACACCACAGATGGGGTGGCTTTAACAAACAGGAGTTTTCTTACAATTTGGAGGCTTTAAGTCCAAGTTCAAAGTGCCAGGCTCTAGGGGCTGGGTGAAAGCCCCTCAACCTTGGGGTCCAGCTTTGCCTCCTGCTCCCGGCCCACTGGAGCTAGAGGCATTTCTTCACTCAGACAGCTGCTGGTTGCTGAGGCTGAGAAGCCCCAAGGTTGACAAGTAAAAAGGTACAGTCCCAATGTTACTAAACCACACGGCAGGCCATTAACTTCAGTCCACTGTAAGCCCCAAGGTCAGCAGAGCATAGCAGGCTGCTGAGCAATGACAAGACTACATGCAGGGTCCAAGAGTGCCGTAGGCTAGAGACCATTCCCAAGGCTTCTCCTTATATACAGGAAGCAGACTACATCCCAAAGGCAGCTATTCAGCTGCTTGTGGCAGATCTTACCATGGAGTTGATTGCCAGTCTCATCATGGGGAATAACTACCACCAGCTGCCCAGCCACTCAACCAGGCACAGCCAAGTTGACACACAAACATAACTACCACAGGCATTTAGGTTATATAATAAGTACACTTCAGTCGATAAATATGAGGTTTATTTATCTTAATACAGAATCATGCTGCTTCCCACACCCATCTGTTTAGAACCAGATGTACAATATTCCATAGATGTCTATTTTTCTCATCCTTTGGAAGAAGAGTCCCACACTCATTCACACATCCTGGTTGACTCTGTAAGTATCATAGAGCTTTGTGGGTGCTTCTTTCAACACTAAACTCCTCTCTGGAGAAATGATCTTTGAAAACTTATAAATGTCTTTGTTTAATAATAAAAGTTAGCTACTATCTAGTTATAAGAATGAGCCCTGGTATTGCAGTGGTTAAGTGCTCAGCTGCTAAGTAAAAGTTTGGTGGTTCAAACCCACCAGCCACTCCTTGGGAGAAAGATGTAGCAGTGTCCTTCTGTGAAGATTTAGAGCCTTGGTAACCCTACGGGAGGAGCTCTGGTAGTGTAGTGCCTAAGGCACTTGACTGCTCACCAGAAGGCTGGCTGTTCAAACCCACCAGCCACTCCTCGGAAGGAAGATGGGGCAATCTACTTCTGTAGTGATACTGCCTCAGAAACCCAAGGAGGGGTCACTATGAGTCGGGTCAGACTTGATGGCACACAACAACAACAACCCTATGGGGCAGTTTTACTCTGTCCTACGGTATTAGCATGGGTTAGAATTGACTTGACAGCAATGGGTTTGGTTTCCTGGTTTATTTAATTATAAATGTTATCTAATAATAATTGCAAAGCTTATCTAACACTGTGTGCGAGTAACAGTTTGAAGAGTTTTGCATATTATGTCATTTTGTCTTCACAACAATCCTATGAGGAAAGTATTATCATTACCCCATTTTACAGATGACAGAACTGGGGTACTGGGAGCTAGGGTGTGAGGAGTCAGGAAGCAAAGCCAGACTGTCTGGCAGCAGAGTCCCTGCTCTAAGCCATGACAGTGTACTGGAGTTACAGAAAGTTTGGGAAAGAAATCCCACCACTTTAATTATTATCATTGTCTAAGTTCCCATTTTATGAACACTATGATTTTATACTATTGGCATACTCAAAGTGCTCATATAATTACAGATATGGGCTTTCTTCACTATATATCATATATACTTTTTTATATTGCTGTGTGGTCTTATCATTTTTAGGAACCATGCGTAATATTTCCTTAAGTGGCTTCTTTCCACTTCTTTCCCCCACAACGTGGGGCCACAGGAGTTTCATCCAAACCTCTCTCTCTGTGCAGTCTGACAGGGCTGGCCTGTCATGGGGCAGAGTTTGGATATTAAGTAAAGTTGATTTACTTACCTATTTCCCTAATTGTGGTCATTTAAGTTACTCCTATTTTTCCTACACTGTATATTTGGTACATATTTTTTTTAAATATTTTTTAATATATTCTTATTTTACCCGAAACTTTATAACTCTTGAAATAATTTGCCAAATTATTTTCTGGAGGTATTGATCAATAAATTTTGAAGACCACGATCTATGTAACTATCAGTTTCATCTCACCATTAGCAAAATGAAATAAAATCGTGTAAGATTTTTTAAAGTAATTCTGTAGATAAAAATCAAACTGATTTTTTATTGTAGTTTTGAATATTTGTGAGAATCTCCTAATATCAAGATTTAACAGACAAATGAAGGCCCTACAAAGTTTCATTGGAAAACAGTCATGCCCCTTCATTTATGTGTGATCTATGGCTGCTTTCTGGCACTATATCAGGCAACGTCTCACTGCTATTCACAAGGTTTTTAGTGGCCAGTTTTTCAGAAATGGACTACCACATCTTCCTTCCTACTTTGTCTCAGTCTAGAAGCTCCGCTGAGACCTCCCCATTGTGGGTGACCCTGCTGGTATTTGAAATACTGCTGGCATACCTTGCAGAATCACAGCAACATGCAACCACTGTAGTATGACAAACTGACAAACGAGTGGTGGCTCATCCACAGTCAACACCCACGGAAGCAGCAGTCAAGAGATCAAACAACATATTGCACTGGGCAAATCTGCTGCCAAAGACCCCTTTAAAGTGTTAAAGAGCAAAGATGTCACTTTGAAGACTAAGGTGCACCTGACCCAAGCCATGGTATATTTCAGTTGTCTCATATGCATGTAAAAATTGGACAATGAACAAGGAAGACCAAAGAAGAACTGTGAATTTGAATTGTGGTGTTGACAAAGAATATTGAAAATACCATGAACTGCCAGAAGAATGAACAAATTCATCTTGGAAGAGGTACAGCCCACGTGGTCCTTAGAGGCAAGAATGGCCAGACTTCTTCTCACGTACTTTTGTCATGTTGTCAGAAGGGACCAGTCCCTGGAGAAGAATCATCCTTGGTAAAGTAGAGGGTCCGTGAAAAAGGGAAGGTCCTTAATGAGATGGATTGACACAGTGGCTGCCACAATGGGCTCAAGCAGAGCAAATTGTGAGGATGGCACAGGACCAGGCAGGGTTTCATTCTGTTGGACATGGGGTCGCTCTGAGTTGGAGCCAACTCAATGGCACTTAACAATAGCAACATGGTACTTTGGGAGCTACAAAAGCAAAGTTGAGTAGTTGCAACAGAGACTGCATAGCCCACAAAGCCCACAAAGCCTAGAATATTTATCTGATCCTTTACAGAAGAAGTTTGCCAACTCTTGAGTTAATTAGTTGTATTTCCATGTTTTGTGAATCATGTCTTCCAAATTTAATTTTTAACCATCAAACACTTGAAATTTATTTAAATTTATACCCCAGGACTTCAATATGAACCAGGTCCTATTTTATTCATCAAGGTTCAACTCTCATAACATCAAAAAAGCCTGTTCTTTTAAGATTGTTTTACCAAAGTTAGAGTTGCCAGATCAAGCAAAAACAAAACAAAAGAAAATGAAACATGCTGCCCAGTTAAATTTGAATTTAAGATGAAAAATAATTTTTAATGTAAGTATACACCAAATGTTGTCCTCAAATATTGCTAACCAAAGCTGGTCTAAAGGCCCCAACTAGAAGGCTATGTAATGGTAGTGATGAGCATCTATCATATTAAATGAAGTAGAAAACAAACTCTCAAATGGGAAATAGAAACCATCATTTTCCTGTCTATGCAACTTATCTCTGCAGAGGAACTTTAAATAGAACTGTGCTCACAAAGCAACATATGAATTGCAAAAGGAAGAAAAACTATGTCAGTAGATTTCATTCAGCCCCAAACATACTGAAAGCTGGGAACCTAGGAAGAGTACAGAATGGGAAAAGGAGAAAATAAGGAGGTCCTAGGTCACTAGGAATGTTATTATTGTAATGATGATCCTAAAACTCAAATTTATACTCCAAATCCTAATCCTACTGAACTCTGTATGCTCCAAAGATTATACTTAATACTGTATTAAATGAATCCATCCAAATTGTCCATTCACCATCCATTCACTGAGTATGTATGGGCCAAGAATGGGCTGGCTTCTGGGGTGCAAAGCCCAGTCCCTGCCCTCAGAGTATTTTCAGCCTGGTACAGAAGACATACATATAAAACAAACAGACAAACAAATTGCATTGATGCTTGATGAATGAAATAATTAAGTGGATGATTTGAAATTAAATTTAAAATATATGTTTGATACTTTATAAGCAAAAATTCTCTTGCATATTGTTCAGAGAAACCCTGTAACCTGAATAAAAATTAAGAGAGCAAAGTGATTTTGGCTACCTCTCAGAAACCTCAGAAGAGGTCTCAGTTCCCTGTTTTAGGTCAGATTTCCTTGAAGCCGAAGCTGTGACATGGACTCAAGTGTATGTGGTTTATGGAGGGCATGCTCTCAGGAGCAGTGACAGGAACAGGACAGGGCAGGGGAAGGAAGGAACCAAGCAAGGATGTGGGCTCCTCTGAAGTGAGGCAGAACAGGAATTGCACTACAGATTCTGTCCCACCTAGACGCGGGGAGCAGCCCTCATGACTCAGTGCTTAAAGCACTCAGCTGCTAACTGAAATGTCTGTGGTTTGAACGCACAGCTGCTCTGCAGGAAAAAAACGTGGCCATCAGCTTCCACAAAGATGACAGCCTCAGAAACCCTTTGGGGCAGTTCTACTCTGTCCTATAGGTTCGCTATGAGTCTGAATCAACTCTACAGCACAGAGTTTGTTTTGGTTTGAAGCAGAGAGGTGGGCTTACATGTACCCAAGACATTGGCTGCAGACTCACACACATATACATCCAGGAAGTGAATACAGATTTCTCCCACTGTCCGAAAGCAGAGCATTCCTATGAAAGCTTCAGAAGCTAAAATGGTGTAAAGCAAAGATGGACTTACCATTAATTTAATGGAAATTTTTTTTTTCTTTTAATGTGATTTGGGTGAAAATTTACAGAGCAAATATACTTTCCATACAGCAGTTCACATACACTTTGTCTCATGACATTGACCACAACTTACCACAATGCAACATCTCCCCTCCTACTTCCTCCTGATAATTACCTCTTCCCTGTGTCCATCCCTCCATGCACTCCTGCCCTCTGAGCTGTCTCCCTGTGCATAAGCAGCCCTTCTTTCTCCCATGCTTGTTCTCTCCAAGGAGTGTATCTACCTCAGGTAAATGTTCAACTCATATGCCTTTCTATTGTTTGGCTGGAAGCCACAGGTGTGTGTTCAACTCCAGACCTGAAGGGCAGCTAGGGGCCATAGTCTCAGTGGTTCTACCGGGCTCTATTGGGCCAACAAACCTGGTCCCCCTCCCCCCTTTTTTTTTCTAAATGATCTTGTGGAAAAATTTTTTGAGTGTTCTCAGACCCAAAAAATAACCTATCAGATCATACCAAATAGCACATAAAACCTAAAATAACACTGACATACAGTAAGAGTGAGAAAGATGTGACAATTACACAGGCTTACGTAAAATAAAAATAATGTATATACAGTGTAGTTTCTGGGGAAGGAGCTAAGAGACACCACTCTTGCTGCTAGGGGCGGGCACTGCTTCTTTAACAGCTCATTGCAAAGCGAATACTGAACTCTAGTTTTGCTTTTCACATTTTTTTTTTTCCCCTGTAAAAGCAAAAATCCTCTCTGGATTTCTTTGGTTAGCAAAAATAAGTACTGATGGGTAGGTCTTTCATAAGAGCAAAGTGGTATAATGCAAACTTTTGAAAAGTGAGGGATATATTCCAGGACAAGGTGGCTGAGTGCAACTTTCTTAAGAAGGACACAGAAATTTTGTGGAGAAGGGCACAACGTCTAGCGGCCAATACTCATGGCAGCTGGAGGATGGTACATCAGCCTGCCAAAGAAATTTGTGTAGGTCACCAACAGTGTCCACTATACCTCCTCAGCAGGGTTGTCTAGTTGGAGAAAGTCACTGGATATTTTGTTATTGCAGATTAATGTGGTTAATGGCAAACCACCAACTTTGCAACTTTGGGGAGGTTCTTGACCGTTTAGGACTTGGTCCTTTCAAAATTCTTTCTTCTCTGTAGGCTGGATTAACATTTATGTCTAAGATCAGGATGCAACGCCAAAAACACAGTTGAAACCTCTGCTCAACTCTGGATGTTTCCTCTGCAAAAATGCCTTTGTTTGGCAAGCATAGTTAGACAGCTTAAATTTTATTTCACTCATCTTGATTATATAATATGTGCTCCCATAAAAATGTTCTACAACATAATCTACTTTTGACTCTAAACATGTTTAGTTTTATATTCTACAATATAAAACTGTCATTCTTCTTTTAAACTTTGGAATAGACTACATTTGGTAACATAATATCCTTGGATGTTCCTAGGAGGAGTGAGCCATGGCATCACAAAATCCTGTAGCTAAGAGGGACCTTTGTCATCTGGCTCATCTGCATGATTCCAGGGATGGCCACCTCTAAACCAGCTCAGACTAGTAGCTGTAAATAATTAACTCCTGGGTGGCTGCTCTCACCCCAGGCCTGTCCCATCTGGATTTCTTCTATACCTCCTCCCTACTTGGCTTGTGTCCAGAGAATGCAGAATAATTTTACTATTATTTGCTTAAATATACAATAAAATGTTTACAGATTATTATCAAAAGAATTTTTATTAAGTATAATTCAGAAATGGTTGCAGCAGTACATGGACAAGAAACTGCCAGAAATTCAAGACAGATACAGAAGATAACATGGAATGAAGGATATCATTGCTGATGTTAGATGGATCTTGACTAAAAGCAGAGAATACCAGAAAGATGTTTACCTGTTCTATTGACTATGCGAAGGCATTTGACTGTGTAGAGCATAACAAATTATGGATAACATTGCAAAGAATGGAAATTCCAGAACACTTAACTGTGCTATTGAGGAACTTTTACATAGGCCAAGAGGTTTATTTGAACAGAACAAGGGGCTATTGTGTGGTTTAAAATCAGAAAATGTGTGCATCAAATTTCACTATATTTATTCAATCCGTATGCTGAGCAAATAATCTGAGAAGCTGAAATATATGAAGAAGAGCAGAGCATTGGGTTAGAGGAAAACTCATTAACAAGCTGTGATATGCATAGGACACAACCTTGCTTGCTGAAAGTGAAGATGACTTGAAGTGCTTACTGAAGATCAAAGACTACAGTCTGCAGTATGGATTACACTTCAATATAAAGAAAACAAAAATCTCACAACTGGACCAATAAGCAATATCATGATAGATGGAGAAAAGATTGAAGTTGTTAAGGATTTCATTTTACTTGGATCTACAATCAATGCCCATGGAAGCAGCAGTCAAAAAATCAAATGATATATTGCACTGGGCAATTCTGCAGACAAAGACTTCTTTAAGGTGTTAAAAAAACAAAGATGTCACTTTGAGACTAAGGTGTGTCTCACCCAAGCCATGGTATTTTCAATCGCCTCATATGCATGTGAAAGCTGAACAATGAATAAAAGAGACTGAAGAATTAAAGCCTTTGAACTAGGGTGTTGGCAAAAAATATTAAATATACCATGGACTGCCAGAAGAACACACAAATCTGTCTTGGAAAGAGTACAGCCAGAAGGCTCCTTAGAAGTGAGAAGGGCAAGGCTTCATCTCATGCATTTGGACATAATATCATGAGGGATCAGTCCCTGGAGAAAGGCATCAGGCTTGAGGGTCTGTAAAGATGAGGAAGACCCTTAACAAGATGGATTGACAATAGCTTCAGCAACGGGTTCAAACAAAGCAACAACTGTAAGGATGGCACAGGACCTGGCATTGTTTTGTTCTGTCATACATAGGGTCGCTGTTAGTTGGAACTGACTTGATGGCACCTAACAACAGCATTCCCATAGTGTAGAACATTTATTTGGAGGAGCGTATAGGGAGCTCTGGTGGCTTAGTGCCTAAGGCATTTGACTGCTAACCAGAAAGCTGGTGGTTCAAACCCACTAGCCACTCCTCGGAAGGAAGATTGGGCAATCTACTTCTTTAGTGATACTTCCTCGGAAACCCAAGGAGGAGTATTAAAGTATTAAGTCGGATCTGACTTGATGGCAGTGAGTTTGGTTTTGGTACAGTGAAGAGTGGAAGCTAGGACATCTTTTGGGCTCCCACTAGAGTAATCTAGGTAGCTTACATCAGGGAAGTGGCAGGGGACTAAAAAACAACAAATGCATCCTAGACATATTTAAGGAGTAGAATTGAGGAAGCCTATGATGGATTTGATTGTATGGGATCTGTTGTAGGTAGGGAGTATTGCTAACTAAGAGACAAGAGTCAAAGATGACTGTCTTCAGTTTTCTACACTGAGCATCTTGGTGGATAAGGGCACTATTTGCTAAAGGTAAAAAGTTAAACAGGTTTCAGACATGTTTGGCTTCCAGTGCCTGTGAGATGGACAACAGGCAACTAGATAATGTGCAGAGCCCACAGTGGAGATCTGGGCAGGTATAGTTTGGATAGGGAGCCCCTGGGTGGTGCAAATTGTTAGTTGCTTGATTACCAACTGAAAGGATGGCCATTTAAACCCGCACAGAGGGATCTTGGAAGATAGGCTTGGCTCTCTGTTCCCAAAAGGTAACAGCCTTGAACACCCTATGAAACTGTTCTACTCTGCATACATGTGGTTGCCAAGAGTTGGAATCAGTTCCACAGCAACTAACAACAGCAACATATTTCAACAGGAAGCAACACTGTCCATAATTAATTGAAAAAGGCAAAACTTTTTCTAGAATTTTGTGGAATTAAAGTTCCATAGTAATACTTTGGGACACACAGAGGTCATAATTTCTTAACTTATCCCAAGCAGCATACATAAAAGTCCTTCAAATCTAAGACAAATTTATTAGCAAGTGAAAATACAATAATAATGACAATAAAAAAAGATAAAGGCTAATTTTACTTTAGCATAAGTTAATAAATGTAAATGTTAAGTTAAAGACTTTTTAAATAAATGGAAAGACTGAAAATCTGCAGTCCTTGGCAACTTAAAGGATTGCAATGAGTCTCTTTTGTACCATTATTGTCATAGATCACAAATGTTATTTTCCTTTTGTTACTACAGTCTTGAGCATCAGACAGTTATGACCATATGTCTTCTTTTCTCATTATTTCAAAAGCTTGGTCTTATTCCCCAAATCAATTCTTTGGAGAATTTCTGCAGCAAGCAGGACTTAGATGAGTATCAGCTGTACAACTGTGCTGAAATTGCCTCTGAAACGGGACGTCGGATGCTGCCTGATGCATGTGAAAGACTGATAGTCAGCATGTCTGCCAAGCTGCACAATGGGGCAGTGGGTGAGTAACAGTCTAACAGACGCTACTGAAGCACTGTTGTCTGAACAAATGCTTTTTGGAATGTGGGGGAATTAATTTAATTTATTTTAGTGTCCACTTCACACCACCAATTTAAATATCAGTCACCCAATGATTAGACACATGGAGCAGTCTGTTGATGTGCTGGAAGTGTAATGCATGGTACAGTAAGTGTATGAAAGAGGAAGCTAGCAGTAGCATTGGAAAGTTGGTTACTAGGAAAATGGTCCTAAAAATTTATGTGGAATCCTAGAATTTAGGGGATGGAATGAACTCTGAACAGTGACTTTCATCCCAAAACCTTCATTTAATAAATGAGAGAATTGATACTATGACTGGCCCATGGCACTTAGCTATAGGGCACAGTTTCTCACTCTCACACTATAGATATCATTGACTGGACAATTCTTTATTCTGAGGTGGGGGTTGTCTTATGTACTATAGGATTTTTAGCATCATTCCTGCCCTCTACCCACCTGTTGCCAGCTGCACCTCTCCCCACCAGTTGTCCCATAGGGAGCAAAATCACACCCCTGCCCCATTTGAAAATCACTGCTATGGGTGACAGTTAAAATGAGAGCCTGAGCTTCCTGAGTTTTAGGCTAATGAATTTCCGTGTGGTTATAGGGTTATGGATTGAGGGTGCTCATAATCTCATGAAAGATATGGAATAGGGGAAATAAAAAGCTGGTAGGTATTGGAAATAGCAAGTATTGGCTAGGAGCTGAAGAAATTAGAACCCTGGTATATTACTGGTGGGAATATAAAATGGTGCAACTGCTGTAGAAAATAATTTGGTAGTTCCTCAAAAAGTTAAACATACAATTACCATATGACCCAGCAGTTCTGCTCCTAAGTATATACCCAGAAGTCTCAAAAGCAGGAACTCAAATAGTCATTTATACACCAGTGTTTTTTTGCAGCTTTATTCACAATAGCCAAAAGATGGAAACCACCTTGGTGTTCATTAACAGATGAATGGATCAACAAATTGTGGTATATTCATACAAAGGAATAGTATTCAGCCATAAAAACAGATGAAGTTCTGATACATGTGACAACATAGAGAAACTTGTGTGTGTGTGTGTGTGTGTGTGATTTGGGTGAAAAATTTACAGAGCAAATTCCCTTTCCATACAGCAGTTCACATACACTTTGTCTCATGACATTGACTACAATTAACCCCAATGCAACAGCTCCCCTTCCACTTCCTCCCAATAGTTACCTCTTCCCTGTGTCCAACCTTCCATGCACTCCTTGCCCCCTTAAGCTGTCTCCCTGTGCATAAACAGCCCTTCTTTCTCCCATGATTGATCTCTCCAAGGAATGTATCTACCTCAGGTAAATGTTCAACAACATAGAGAAACTTTGAAAACATTATGCTGAATAGAATAAGTCAGACACAAAAAGACAATCATTGTATGATACCATATATATGAAATATCTAAATAGGCAAATGCATAGAGACAAGAGTTTATTAGTGGTCACGAGGCACTAGTAAGAGGGAGGATGGGGAATTACTCCTGAAGAGCTACTGAGCTTTTGTTTAGGGGAATGAAAAATGTCTGAAAATGAACAGTGGTGTTGGCTGTATGACATGATGAATATAATTAATGTCACCAAATTGCACACTTAAACATGGTTCTAATGGTAAAGGTTTTGTTTAATGTATTTTACCACAACTGAAAAAAAAAAAAAAAACACTAATATACTTCAACATAGTAGGTTCCACAACAGGAATTGAAGTCATAATAATGTCAATAATAATAAGAAGAAGACGACAATTTATTTAAGATTTGCATTCACTTTTAATGTATAGTTTATTGGGTACTTAACTAATAAAGTGCCAAGCACTGTTCTAAGTACTTTAAAGTTATTCTTCATTTAAACATTAAGATGGGACCATGAGACCAATCCTACTATTATCTTCATTTAATGAAGAAATTTAGGGATTAGAGAGGTACCAAATGAAAGAGAGTTAAACTACCGCCACTAACAGGATGAGACACTCACTCCCACTTCCTTCACCTCTAACTGCTTGCTTTGATCCCTGTAGCTTGCAAGTGTCACCCCCAGGGCTCAGTGGGGGCCAGCTGCAGCCGACTCGGGGGCCAGTGTCAGTGCAGACCTGGTGTGGAGGGGCGCTGCTGTGACAGGTGCTCAGCAGGAAGCTACGGCCTCGGTCATCACGGTTGTCACTGTACGTAGCAAAAACCAGATGGAGGGAAACATGTCCTGGGAATCAGAAGGCAGACAAAGTGATGTGTGCAGTTTAAAAGGGGAGGGCTTATGGAAATTTGGCTACATTATTCAGATTGTCTACGTAGATAAAATGGACTGGAATTTTTGTCTACTGTACTTTTGTCATGCTTTCAGTGGACACCAACTGTACACATGATGAACAAAACATGGGCCGTCCCTTCTGGAAGATTACAGTTCATATAGAATGGATTGTAGTTCAGGGTATGGAGCCCCAACCAAACCAAACCCACTGCCATTGAGTAGGATCTGACTCACAGTGACCTCTCCTTGGGTTTCTAAAGCAGTATCACTATGGAAGTAGATTGCCCAACCTTATTTGCGAGGAGTGGCTGGTGGGTTTGAACCCCCAGCTTTCTGGTTAGCAGTCAAATGCCTTAGGCACTACGCCACCAAAGGTCCTATGGAGCCCCTGGGGGTGCAAATGGTTAACACACTTGGCTACTAACCAGAAGGTTGAGAGTTTAAGTCAACCCAGAAGAAGAAAGTCTTGGTGATTAACTTGCACAAAGTCAGCCATTAAAAAATCCTAGGACACACACTGCTGCTCTGACACACATGGATGCCATCAGTCAGAGTGAGTAAAATGTGGGAACACAATGAAGGGTGCTGGATGTACAAAGCCAGCTTTAGTATCTGTAATGTAAGCCCTATGGTTGGAAAGCTGAAAACAAGGCCGCGATTCGGAAGCAGAGGAAGAGGACAACATTGTTACCACAGATAAGACCTCCCCTGATGCGCGGGTTTCAAACAGGCTTGAAACTAATAAGCCACCCATTACAAAGGATATAGTTGGGACTTCATTCAGAGTTGATGACTTAAGCTCGTCGCTGTTGTGTTCAGAGTACACAGTCACAATGTCAAACAATTAGAGGAAACACTGTTCCCCACTAAAGCCTGCCTCAGGAACATGAAAACCTCCAGGTGGGTTGATTTTCCTTTCAGGTGAGGTAAGAAAGATGGCATACCCTGCTGGTCATTTCCTGGGCATGCTTGCCTATTCTGCGTAGTACTTAGGTTCCATTATTTGCTTTTACTTTCTTTTTTCTTAGTATTTTAAGTTGATTGTGGTTTCAGTAAAAAGTTTAGAGGACAAGTTAGTTTTCCATTCAACAATGTATACACATTTTGTTTCATGATATCAGTTGCAGTTTCCTCAGTGTAACAGCACTCTTCCCACTTCCTCCCTGTGTCCACCAGTTCCATTTGTCCTTCTTTCCTGCCCCTTCCTGCCTTCTGAGCTTTGTCTTTGAGCAAACACTGCCCTTTTAGTCTTGCATCGTTCATTGTTCTGAGGAGCCTGTTCCTCAAGGTTGTCACTGTTCACTTTATAGACCTGTCTATTGTTTGCCTGAAAGGTGATCCCAAGGGGTAGGTTCAGTTCCAGGTTGGAAGAATGCCCCAGGATTCTACCATGCTCCATCAGACCAGTAAGTCTGGTCTTTTTTATGATCTTAAATTTTGTTCTACATTTTTCTCCCATTCTGTCCAGAACTTTCTGTGGTCCTGATTCCTTTTTTTTTCTTTTTTAAAAATACTGTGAAATGTTTGATATAGATAGGGTTATAAACAAAAGATTAAATTTCTTCCATGTACAACCCTGTCAAACAAATAGGCAACTTAAAGGATTCAACAATTTACCTGAGAAGGATAAATCTTTTACTATCTCATCTACAAAAAGAAAAATCTCAGCCCCTTGATTCCTGTGTGAACTGCTGTCCTTGCCTGTGTCTAGATGCTCCCTCAAGTAATCAGTAATTTTGCCCATTCCTGTCATCAGAATCCTGGCAGCTCGGATGCTGTCTGTTCTATAGGCGCTATCCTATAGCGGTTTATTGAATGAGTTAATGAATTATTATTTAGCAAACATTTATCTGGTTCTCATTATATGCCATACTCTGTTCTAAGCACTTTCCAAACTCAGTCTCTTCTCTTTGCTTGAGATGATATGATAAATTAGAAACCAGAATCCAGTTGCCATGGAGTTGATCCTGACTCATGGCAACTCCATATAAGTTAGAGAAGACCTGGGTTCCACAGAGTTTTTAGTGGCTGGATTTTGGAGGGAGATCACCAGCTCTTCCTTCTGAGGACCTCTGGGTGGATTTGAACCTCCAGCCTTTCAGTTAGCAGCCTAGCCCAGCATGGCCCATTGCACCACCCAGGGACTCCTATGGCAAGTTAGGGAATGTGAAAATCAGAACTGCAACTCTTTCACCACCATACCACTCACTCCCTACCCCCAACACGGCTTCTGTTTGCTTTACCCAGCATGCCACTGCCACCCTCAAGGCTCGACGAACACTGTATGTGACCAAATAACTGGACAGTGTCCCTGCCACGGAGAGGTGGCTGGCCGCCACTGTGATCAGTGCCTGGCTGGCTATTTTGGATTTCCTGACTGCCACCCTTGCCCCTGTAATGGGTTTGCTGAGCTATGTGACCCAGAAACAGGGGCATGCTTCAATTGTGGAGGTTTTACAACTGGTCCAAACTGTGAAAGGTATGGAATTGATGCACTCTAATTTTTTATTTTTTCTTTTGTTCAGCTCCCATCACATTGTCTGGGAAACCACTAAGTAGAGACTCAATAGTATTTAAGGGTGAAATGAAGGCTATGGGGGGTGTGGGGTAGGGGGAGTAGAATATCATTTCATTGTCCTTCAAAATCATTTTATGAACCAGAAAATATTTGATTAAATCAATAACACATGTTTTCCTGGAACTTTGCTTTTCATGTTTCTGAAATGTGATATATAAATTCAGGGCTATTGTATCGAATTCCATGGCTATACTTTGGGACTTTTACTGTAAAACAAAAAATGCTTTTACAGAACATATAAGCATCTCCTAAAATATTGAATCTTGTAAGTCATACCATCCAACAACATAGCAAATCCACATTGGCTAATATGTGTACTTGCCCAGGGAACTTTTTGGAAAAAGGAAATTGCCTTGACAGGTGCCTCGATGGTTACTATGGAAATCCTTCTTCAGGACAATCCTGCCATCCTTGCCTGTGTCCAGATGCTCCCTCAAGTAATCAGTATTTTGCCCATTCCTGTTATCAGAATCCTGGGAGCTCAGATATAATCTGCAATTGTCTTCAAGGTTATGCAGGTATGTGGCATAGAGCATCGTGACCTTTCCTTCTGTCCCACACTCCAGAAAAAACCAAACTCACTGCTGTCAATTTGTTCCCAACTTATAGTGACCCCCATTGATTTTCCTAGACTGTAAATCTTTACGGAAGTAGATCGCCCCGTCTTCTTTCCATGGGAGCAGCTGATAGGTTTGAACCACTGACCTTCTGGGTAGCAGTCAAGTGCCTTATCCACTACGCCACCAGAGTTGTCTGTCCCACACTGCTAGCTGAAAAATGATCACATGTTCATAATATATCTTCCTGGGACCAAAGAGTGGTGCAGAATATGGAAAAAGTGAACAGTTAGAAGATACATCTTGGTAGATTGCTGCTTTACCAAGCAAAGAATTAGAATGATTCAAAACCTAATGACTGAGTCAACCACTCATTCTACTGAGCTGGAACTGTTTCTAAATATAGCTCTAGAAAACCAAGTGACTGAATGAGATCAAATTAATTTTTTATTATTTTATTTTTTATTATGTATTATTTTATTAATGTATTTACATATCAATTTTTATTATTTAAGGTTATTTTTGTTGTTGTTGTTACATGCCATTGAGTTGGACCCGACTCACAGGGACCCCTCCTACAATTTCTGAGGCAGTATCACTACAGAAGTTGATTGACCAACCTTCCTTCTGAGTAGTGGCTGGTGGGTTTGAACCGCCAGCCTTCTGGTTATAACTTAAACAATTAAAAAGTAAATATTTAATCAGTCAAATGCTTTTTGGGGGTATAATACTAAGCAATCAGCTTGACTGATGTTTCAAAGATTTATTTAATTTTTGGAGATGTCTTGACGCAGTGTTTTAGGCTCTGGGTGTTTTGTGTTTTGGCCCTGGGTGGCACAGATGGTCAACTGCTGGCCTACTAAGCAAAAGACCAGCAGGTTGAACCCACCCAGAGATGCCTCAGAGGAAAGGCAATCTGCTTTGGAAAGGCCTGAGCCATGAAAACCCTGTGGAGTGCAGTGCTACCCTGAAGGCATGGGGTTGCCTGGAATCACCTGGAAAGCAAATTACCAGCTCTTTCTTTATTTCTTTTTGTAGACACTGTGTAAGTCTTAATATAGAATGTATACCTGTCACTCAATCAAAAATTTTGTTTTGAAGAGTTTTAGCATAAGCATGGTTATATAATGCAAACAAAAAATCTTATGAATTCTACTTGTTTTAATCATACTTAGAAAAGATGATTATTATTTTCTTCAGTGGCAACTACCTACATGATAATAAATTATATGGCTAATCTTTCTGTTGTTGTTGTTACTTCTAAGGTTGCACCTGTCTCTATTTAATTCTTCTCTCCTCAGTTCCTTCTCCATGCCTAGTTTGGCTTAGTTGGTCAGTTTTTTGGAACTGAGACCATGTTTTTGGCTACAAGATTATATCTAAACGGGATAAAACAAAATATGGAGATTGCCACAGACTGGGCATCCAAACAACCGCAGTTGCCTAGTGGTTGGGAAGACAAAGAGTATTGTATATAAGCAATGGTTTCTCCACCTAGTACTTAATGAAATCACCCTTAAGGGTCCATACATCAAGTAGTAAAAGACCCTCAACTCACCCATCTTCACTTCCACATGCATGTCTCAGGAAGTTGCCATTTGGTTTTTGAGTTCAAGGCTGCATGATGGTGTTCATTTTAACCATGTTGTACTTCTAGGACCAGGTAAGGGTTAGGAAGCATCAGGGACAACAGGAACTAGATTAGCTTTGGGTCCCAAGCACACTAGGGTGACCTTGGTCATATAAGGACTTGGGAATCATGTGCCCACAGCTCCACAGTTTTTGAAGAAAGACTGGAATCCATCTGGATTTTGAAGGAAGACTGGAATTCATCAAGGTCTTTTTAGCTCTGAATAATCTTTTTGTTCTCTGAATAGGTAATAAATAAAAATGAATATTTACTTTTAATTGAGAACACGTTTCCTTATTCATCCCAAATGTGTGGCTTCTCATCATGCCAGAGGAGCTGCAGTTATTCTTCTTTTACAAGCCTCATCCCTGCATCCCATCCCCCTAGACACACTCCTCTCATCCCACGCCTTCTTCCTCCCCACCCTCTCACAGGTATTCAGTGTGGAGAATGCTCTGCTGGTTTCTATGGAAATCCAAGAATTTCAGGAGCACCTTGTCGGCCATGTGACTGCAATGACAACATTGATGTAACTGATCCAGAGGCCTGCAGCCGGGTCACAGGGGAGTGCCTGAGATGTCTGCACAACACTCAGGGCCCCAACTGCCAGCTCTGCAAACCAGGTCACTTTGGATCAGCCCTCAATCAGACCTGCAGAAGTAAGTCTGCAGGGCTCCCAGTAGGTAATGTGGTGATTAAAATCAGCTGGAAGACATGGTATCAGCTCCCCCAAGCTTATTTCAGTTGGTCCAGTCCCAGCAAGCAAAAGTAGCACCCATTGGATAATGGAGCCGCTGCACTAGACTCATTACTGAAAACACTGCGTGAAATGCAGCCACCCTAAGCATTTTCAGATGTGGCTGCAATGAGCTCACTGGTGTTACTGGTTTGCCTTTTGTGACTTTTGTCTTTAACACCTGTCCTAGTGGATTCGGTACATTGTTTCTCAGAGTGTGGACCTCAGTGCAGCTGTGACCAAATAATGGGGCAGGAAATGGGAATTAGGAGCATGCAGATTCCTGGTTGTGCCTCCAACCCACTGCATGGGAATCTCTGAGAGTGGGGCCCAGGGATCTGCACCATAACAAATTCATGAAGTGACTTGAATGTAAAATACAAGACGCATTGATTTAGAAGACTGACAAGGGCTTGAGTCTATGATAAAGAAAGAGAGAGGATAAACTGCATGTTTTTTAGAGAGATTTTAAATTTTTTATTTCACCCAAGTCAGTTGAGTCCACCATTTTTTCCAGATTGTTTAACTAAGTGGAACTTTGGTGAGTAAGCAAAAGGTGAGCAGTGGGGTGATCCTGATGGTGGGCTCTTGAAACATAGTAAGTTCAGTTGTATGAAATCAAAAACAATTGAATGGGTTCAACATACTTAGATTCTTTGATAAATTCTATACAATTATTAAGAATCCCTGTGTCACACACACAGTTCAGTGCTCCATTACCAGCCAAAAGGTTGGCAGTTTGAACCCACCCAGAGGCACCTTGTAAGACAGGCCCGGTGACCTGCTTCTGAAAGTTCACAGTCTATGGAGCACAGTTCTATTCTGGACACCTGGGGTCACTGTTAGTCAGAATTGACTGGAAGGCAGTTGGAGACATGATATATGCAGACCTAAAAAGCTGTTTGCATAGTTTGCTAAATGCTGGCAGTATCATTAGTTTTTACCTCTGACAACTGCTTAACCACTTTATGATCTTAGGATGCTCCTGCCACCCTTCTGGCGTGAATCCCTCCGAGTGTCCCTCTGGTCAAGGACCCTGCCTCTGTGATCCTGCCACTGGCTCCTGCCCGTGTCTGCCAAATGTCACTGGCCTGGCCTGTGACCGCTGTGCTGACGGATACTGGAATCTGGTCCCTGGCAGAGGATGTCAGTTATGTGACTGTGATGCCCGAACTTCTCAAAGTAGCCACTGTGACCAGGCAAGATACTTAAAACTTTCTAGTGTGCTCAGTCTAAGAACTGTTGGTGAGACATAGTTCCCAATATGTAAAGAACAGTTTCTTTATTGACTGCTAACCAGAAGGCTGGTGGTTCAAACCCACCAGCCACTCCTCAAAAGGAAGGTTGGGCAATCTACTTCCGTAGTGATACCACCTCAGAAACCCAAGGAGGGGTCACTATGAGTTGGATCCAACTCCACAGCACATAACAACAACAATAATAACAAAATGTTCTAGACAGAATCAGCCCTACACAGGGATAGAGTTGGCATTTATCAAGGAATGGAAAGCACCATAGAAAGATGAGAATCTCAATGTTAAGCTTTGCCTGTGGAGTTTTCTCTAGTCCTCTACTTTGGCCAATGAGAACATTTTAAGTTGGTTCCTGTGCCCCTTTAACATATCCCCATTATTATAGATTTCTTGTTTTTGTTTTTTTTTTTTGAGCACTTCTTTACTTTCTGGCACTGCAAGATCCTCCCAACTCATCTGGTATATATAAATATACATAAATAGTCAGCCATTTCTCCAAGGAACCTTGGTACCTTTTGAAGAGCAGTATTAGAAAGCAAGGAGCTCTGGTAGCATGGTGCCTAAGGCACTTGACTGCTAACCAGAAGGTTGGCAGTTCAAACCCACCAGCCACTCCTCGGAAGGAAGGTTGGGCAATCCTACTTCCGTAGTGATACTGCCTCGGAAACCCAAGGAGGGGTCGCTATGAGTCGGGGTTGACTCGACGGCACATAATAACAACAACAACAACATTAGAAAGCAAGACCTGGATGGTCAGTGACCATGCATTTTTTAATGCTCTCCTCCCCTCCCCACACCTGCAGCCAGCACCCATGGAACAAATTGGTAGATTTTCACGTGATTACATGGCTCCCTAATTTGTGAGGGATTTCTAATGTCCATGATGTCACTGTCTGACATGCTTCTTAGAACTTTTGGAAAGCATGATTCTAGCAGCAATTAACGAAGACCACAGTTCAGTCATAGAATCAGAGGTAACCCATGAAAATGAAAATTAGATAGCAATGGTTTAATCAAATAGCCTGTCATAACAAGGGCACTTTGGGTTGTCTGGTCCATAAGCGACCCTTTGGTAAAGATTGTTCCATGATCAGAAAACACTTTCACTGGAGCACAAAGGAAACATGTGGACATTTAAATTCCCAGCTATTAAAACAACCATTGGTAAAGCCCTCTGTGTCAGCCAGGAGGTCCCTAGTGCATTCCAGAGAGATCCAAACAAGCTGTCCAATATTTTCATCAACAGGTTAGGTGGAGTTGAAGAAACACACTTATCAAATTTACAGACATTACTAAGTTGTAAAGTAATATAATAAAGACAGAATATGATTAAAAATATACCAACAGGCTGATAAAATATACCTACATAGGCTGGAAGCAAGAAGATGAAAATTTTATCAGAGTAAAAGTGAAGTTTTGCAATTGGGTTTTAGAGATCTACTGCATAAATACAAAGTGGGAGGGATAACTTGGCACTGACTCACGTGGAAAACATTAGGATTTTTGTTGTGCATAGACAGGCTTTACATGAGCCAGCAGGGCCATAACAGGGCTGCCAATGGGGTGATGCCAGTTCAGGCTAGAGTAGGAAGAGTGCCCTACCCAGTTCAAGGGAGTCATTGTCCCATGGTCCACTGCACTGGCCAGGAGGCCCTAGGAGAATTGTTGTCATTTCTAAGTACCATATATTAATATACTGACAATTAATGTTGACAATATATTGATAAACTAATTTCTGTACAAAGTAAGACAACAGGAAAGTGGGTAGAACCATACTATCCTATGATGAAGGTCTGAAGGGATTAGGAGTGGTTGGTCCATAAAAAAGAAGCAAAGGCAAATTGAAATGGCCATCTCTAATTGGAGAAAGGACTGCAAGAGGGAAGAAGGGGGCAGTCTGTTTTGCGCAACTCTGGAAGGCTGGACTCTGAACAACAGGAATGAGTTACAAGGAGGTAGATTCTGTCACGGTATCAGAAAGCATTGCCCAGTAATCAAGGACAACCAACTTCCCATAACTCCCTATATGTTAGCAGAAGCTAGTGGAGAGGTAACTCCCAAGATGGGTGGAAGCTTGGTAGATCCAAGCTGTTGCTTCATCTAGTTACTTATTCACTGGAAGCATAATTATGAAGTTAGTGTTTAAGCGGGTTTGGTCATGTATACTTTAGAATTATAACAATAGTTATTTGCTTCACATTTTTCTTCTGTTAATTATTCAACCTTCTCAGTTTTCAGAAAAGCTGATCATGAAGCCCAGTCAGGAAGGTGCAGGAAGGTTCAGTTCTTTCCCCAAAACACAATTAAATAAGAGACATTAAACAATTAGGCCTCAAGTCCCCATCCCCCAAAAAATGCTGTTTTGTCAAATAACATAAACTCAATTGAACTAGTCCAATTGGTAAAAACTATATCCTGTATTCCATATTTGGGGAAAGTAATTTCCAAATTAATAGATGAGGGTACGGCCAAGCCTTTGGCCTCTCTCCCTTGTGGGAGAACTCCCATAACTGTACAAAAGAATGTGGCCTGTTTCCCATTAAGTGTTTTTTTTCATGTACATCTGTATATGCTTCCCAATTTGGGGCCACCTGTCCTTGAACAGCTGGAAGCAGGTGGTGTATCCAAGAGCTCTAAGCCAAAACACATGAACTTGTGATCCTTGGTATTGTCGGGGGTGGTTGCTGGCCGTGGGAATTGTCCTTTCTCTGCCTTTGTACAGCTGTATGTTCTAAATCACTGGAGGGAAAAATGTTTCCTATTAAAATGCATTATTTCTTTAGATCATAAAGCTTGTCCATTCCTCACCCATGACTGTTCTCACAGCTTACAGGCCAGTGTCCGTGTAAATTAGGCTATGGCGGGAAACACTGCAATGAGTGCAAGGAAACTTATTATGGTGATCCACCGGGGCCATGCGTTCGTAAGTATTGGTAATTCTGAAAACACTTGGGTATGAGCAACCTGACCCTACCAAGGGTATCTTTCAAACCAACCGAATTTTAAATTCCTTTATTTGGTTGTTGCTTTTAACAATATAGACTTAGAAAATTCACAAAATTTGATCCAAGTTTTGAAAATAATATTTTTGTAGTTCAGCAAATGAGATTATTTTGGCCTTTTTAAAAACTTTTAGCTGAATTAATATTTGTAGCTTATATTAAAATTTCTCAGAGTCATCACAGTGGAACAAGCCTCAGGGGTCATGACTTGTAGCCAATTTTCTGCTATTTGGAAGCAAGTTGAGAAAAAATGACTGCTCAGGATTGAGATACAGGCTGGTCAATTGATCATAGGAAGACAGTAGAGGTGACATTTCCTCACAGTGGCTCTCATGCCTTCAGGTCTATTGTGTATTCACTTATTCATGTACGTAACAAATATTCAGAGTGCCTACCGGGTATTCCAGGTGAACAATCAAGACGAAGACTTCTCATGGAGTTTGTGCTACAGCATCTTCTTTCCACGTATTAGCACTAGTTGTAGGACTTAGAGCCATACTAGCCAGTAGAATTTTCCATGATGATACAAATATTCTACATCTGTGTTGTCCAATGTGGTAGCCACTAGCCTATGTGGCTATTGGGCACTTGAAATGTGGCTAATATAGCTGAGGAATTGAATTTTTTATTTATTTAATTTTAATTAGTTTAAATCTAGATAGCCACATGCAGTTAGTGGCTACCATACCGAACAGCTTAGGTTGAGAGTCTAGGTGGGCCCTAGATGGTAGGATTTTTGATTCTCCCTTTAAAATCAACTTCCAAAGGAAGTCAATCCAAAAAGTGACAGGCATGATGGTCTTTTCATTGTAGTCACCCCTCCAACCACAGATAGTAGTAACATTTTTCTCCTCTCCATTCTTTCATAAATGTATTCTTTTTATTATTCATTTATTTTTATTGTGCTTTAGGTGCAAATTTACAGAGCATATTTGTTTTACATTCAACAGTTCATGCACATATGATTTCACACCTGATTACCATCCCTGACCATAACAAACTCCCTTCCCCTCCAATCCCTGTGATTGCCCCCTCCCTGTGCCTTTTTTCACTATGTGTTCCTGTCTGTCCAACTTTCCCTCTATGGGAATGCTGCCCCTCTGGTGGCTCATGGCTGCTTGCTCTAAGGAGCACATCTCCCTAGAGTAGATGGGTGCATAGCCCTGGGGAAGGTGTTCTATGTGTAGTACTTTCTACTGTTGGGCTGAAAGCCAATCCACATAGTGAGTCCAATTCTAGGCCCGAAGGGTAACGTAGGGCCATAGTCTTGGGGGTTCCACCAGACTCCATCCGACCAGTGATTCTTTTTTTGTGGCTAAAAAACATCTCTGGTAGCATAGTGGCTAAAGCACTTGACTGCTAACCAGAAGGCTGGCGGTTCAAACCCACCAGCCACTCCTCAGAAGGAAGGTTGGGCAATCCTACTTCCGTAGTGATACTGCCTCGGAAACCCAAGAAGGGGTCGCTATGAGTCGGGGCCGACTCGACGGCACATAACAACAACAACAACAAAAACATCACTGTCATGTCCACATCATTCAGATACACATTTCTCAATGATTTTTCCCTGAGTCCTACCTACTCAGTTCTCTAAGTGGAATTTCTTCTTGAAAAACCAGGGAAGAATTTTGGCTCTTGGAAAATCTATCTTAGAGAGCCTCTTCCCTTGTGTCCCTTTAATGTTTCAATAATCTTATTTCATGAAAATGCTTTCATCCTTTTTGCTGACACAGCAGAGGAAATACTAAAATGGTCAACTTGGGCCACAGACTCCCACTCCAGCTCCTGGGAAAGAGAAGCTAGTAAGGGGGAAACTTGGCCTCCAGCCACTGAGGTGACATCGTACCACCCCCATAGGGCCCCTGTGAGCTCTCTGGACCAACTGAATGTGCCAGACTGATGGTACCAGGCTGAGGAGCCTCGTGTGCTAATCCCCTTCTATTCGAAATTGGCAGTATTTTTATTCAAGGTGTAAAATGCTTTTTTAAGTCACTTGTTCCTTACAATTAGTCCAAAGACATAGGCCAATGATTCTCTAACCATTCAGAAATTTCCATGATGCCAATACCCATCCTTCATTCTCAGGCTCAGTCAGAAACCTTATCAATTCAAGTATTATGGGGCATCAGTTGTTATTTTTTAATTATTATTAAAACAAAAGGAATGTTGCCCTCTACTTGAGAATGGAATATTTCTCCTCAAAACATGGAAGACAATATGACTCACCAAACCCAAGCTGGATTGTACTAAATGTGGCCACAGGAATTCTTAGTCTGTGACATGCCTATATCACCCCATGAGACAGACGCAGCAGAGTCATTAACATACTGTCCACCATTTAGGGCCGCCGCATTCCTCCCTCGAATAGATGGAGAACCCACATGTGCGTGCACACATACACACACACAATAAAAATGGCAGCTACTATTTTCCATAGTGCCTAAGGCACTTGACTGCTAACCAGAAGGCTGGTGGTTCAAACCCACAAGCCACTCCTCAGAAGGAAGGTTGGGCAATCTACTTCCATAGTGATACCGCCTTGGAAACCCAAGGAGGGGTCACTATGAGTCAGATCCGACTTGACGGCATATAACAACATTTTCCATACATAAGCCGTGGACTGGCTGGTTAGTAAAATGAAGGAAGGAATGTTGGACTCTCAGCCATTGCACAGATCCCTGCAAGCATCCTGGTTTAACACATTCACCCTAGAAATGTGAGTTGGAGGGATTCTTAGAAGGGAGAAGTGGACTTTGTTCTTAAGTTAATCATAAGCAAAAAGACCAGGTGACATTCTCTGCTCTCCCTCTCTTCCTTTTTAGCATGTGACTGCAACAGGGAAGGTACCCAGACACCAGCCTGTGATGAGGACACAGGCATGTGCCACTGCCGGGAGGGCGTTGGTGGCCAGCGATGCGATCACTGCATCAGGGGTCACAGCCAGGAATTCCCTGCTTGTCTTCGGTGTCACTCATGCTTTGATCAATGGGACCGTACCATTTCTTCCCTCTCGAAAACAGTGCAAGGGTTAATGAGGCTGGCTGTTAACATGGAAGATAAAAGAGGGACCCTGCCCATCTGTGAGGCCAACTTCAAAGGCCTCAGAGAGAACATATCTGAAATAGAAAGGATTTTGAAACATCCTGTTTTCTCATCTGGGGAATTCTTAAGAGTCAAGGATTATCATGACTCTGTTCGGTAAGTTTTGTGCTCTGATCGTAGACAGGTGAATAGACAGATGGTGAGGGTGGTCCAGAGTTTCAGTCTGTTGTACCTGGGGTTGCTATGACTCTGAGCCAGTCGACAGCACCTGACAACAGGAGATGGTCAGCCCCTGATTTCCCTGCACTGCTGCTGAAATTCAACATCCTCAGGGTTCCATTTAGAAATGCACCTATTGTGACTTCAGGGAACTGACAGTCACTCAGTAACCAGGCTGGTTATCTTGCTTGTCTGTCTCTTTCTTACTTAGTTAAGATTTCATGTGATTTTTCCAGAAGCCGTTGATTACAACAAAAAGGGAATCATTAAAAAGTTGATGGAGGACCCCAAGCCCAGCATTGCTGAAGGACAATGAAATTGGAAGCAATTTTTAACACAATGTATTTTTTCAACCATGCACTCAGAAAACTTACTATACTTTCCCTAATTCTTCCATTGTTCAGAAGCCTGTACATGAATATGAAGTCTTATAACAAGTATAATAATTCATTCGAAATTCATTTTAATCACATTTTATGGCATATTTTCCCCTCTTCCTCATCAAACATTTCTTGAGATTAGAATGGTTGGCATGGGGCAGGAGTTAGTAAATCACAGCCCATAAGCCAAATCCAACACACCACCCATTTTTGCAAACCAAATTTCATTGGAACACATTCACACCCATTTATTTACATATTGTCTGTAGCTGCTTTACCTCTACAAAGGCAGAGGTGAGTGGTTTCAACAGACATACTATGGACCCCAGGTGTAACATGTTTACTACCTGGCTCTTTACAGAAAGCTTGCTGACATGCTCTGGGCAAAACCAGAATGAATTATTGGGTATAGTTTACATCCTCACAGGAGCAATCCAGCAAAAAACCAAAATACTGTGATTATATACCCCCAAAAAACAGAATTACCATCAAGTCGATTTCAATTCTTGGTGACCCATGTGTTTCAAAGTAGATCAGTGCTGCAGAGGGTTTTCAATGGCTGTGACCGTTGGGAAGAAAATAGCCAGGCATTTCTTCCAAGTTACCTCTGGGTGGGTTTATATCAGCAATCTTTCAGGTACCATCCAAGCACTCAACTGTTTGTACCACCCAGGGACTCCATATAGCAAAATACTCTCTACCTCAGAAAAAGGTCCTGCATTAAGAAAAGTTGAAGCTGCTTAGAGTTTTATGAATAACACAAGTGTAAATATAAGGCCATTTATTATCAATAGCCAAATATCCCAGGACTATATGGTAATTGCCTGTAAGTCACACAAGGAAGAAGATACAGCCCAGCTGGACTGCTCAGAGGGAGATGAACTCCACCCTGAATGCACCTACAGGGCCCGCAGTGGGGGGTGGGTCAGGTGGCCAATTCCGACTGGCAGGTAGAACAAGCACACCCAGATCCTTCTAAGGACTGTTGCCCTACAGGAAGGTGGGCCCAGTGTCCCTAGATCTTCCCACTTTTCAAGAAATGTCAGACATTTGGATTTTTATGTAAAGTACCCCCATTTTTAAACATTGACAGCTAACCTAATAGTGCTTTTAAAAAGCACTGTAAAGGGGTGGGAAGGGGAGAGCTCTGTACAGGGCACAGAGGGCAAGCTTTGGTCCATGGACCACCAGCTTGTGGTCACATAGATGTAGAAAAATGACAGAGAAAGTGGGACTCAGAAAGAACAATGAACTGATCCACAGTGAACAATCAAGATGAAGAGACAGGGAAACCCAGAGCAGAGCCAGAGGAGAGAACACGAGAAGTAGGCATCCCAGGCTCAGGCCTGCAAGATGAGGAAGGAGGCACCCTGAGCCTCGTCAGCCAAAGCCCAAAGGTGTTTCCCTCTTGGTACACCTGCCAAGCTCCTAGTCCTCTTCAACGCCCACCCAAACACCGCCTCCTCCCTGAAGCCTTCCTTGCCCTCCCCAGAGGAAGGCTTCTGTGTCCTTCGTGTTTCCACCTCTTCTTGGCTCATTTGCTGTTGCCTTACTAGGGGATTCCTGAGGGCAGGGACAGCCTTCTCTTTATGTTTGTATTCTCCAGGCCTGATACAGGTGTAAAATATGTGTTTGCTGAATAAATTACAAAGTCAAAGAGGAGGGAGAGGGTGGAGAACCCTGGGTGTCTTGAGCATAGATTCAGAAATCAAGCAACCTTGTTTCAAATGTGTTTACTAGCTGTATGGCCATAGATTATTTAGTTTCTCCAAGCTTCGCGTTCTTCATGAAGAAAAAGGATAATAGTCTCTTTTTCAAAGAATTCTTATGAGAATTACTCAAGGCAAGCCACTTAGCATGTTGTCTGGCATATAGTAAGTGCCTATTGTTGTTGTTGTTATGTGCCATCAAGTTGGACCTGACTCATAGCGACCCCTCCTTGGGTTTCCAAGGCAGTATCACTACAGAAGTAGATTGCCCCATCTTCCTTCCGAGGAGTGGCTAGTG